TATTATCTGAGAAAAGCAAATTCAGCGCTGGGTGATCAGGGAGGGGTTTGAACAACCCCCAAAGGAGACAGTTGTTCTATTTTATTCTCTATATAAATATACATATTCATTACACATTGTCAAGTCAGACATTGAGCAGATGTTTGCTTGTTATCTACACAAAGTTATCAATTTTTCAGAAAGGTGTCATTATCTATAACTAAACCAAGTCCCTTCACTATGAACCTTAGACAAGGTAAAAGGGAGGTAACTTGTTTTATGTCTTTACAGGGGCCCAATTAAGTTTTACGATTTGTTTTCCTTTTCTCTCTCTGGGTTGTGTTGACTTTAGGCTGTTTTCTTTTTAATTAGCTCGAATCATTCTCCCTTTTACCTTCTCTAAAATTTATAGTGAAGGGACACCCAGTCCCTCCCAGTGGCTCCTGGCACTGGCTGCATTAACCAGTCCCGTTGGCTGGCGGGACTGGTTTCGCCTTCGGGGTGTTCTCTCTGCACAGGAGCAGTTCCCAGGGCTGATGGTCTCTGGGTGGTGTGGAGGCTGCTGGTCTCTGGTGCTGAAGATCCAGGAGATGGCAGCTGGGCGCTGGGGCTGGGGCTGACGGTCTCCAGTGCTGGAGAACTGGGAGACAGCCCTGGTAGCGCCAGGCTGCCTGTGTTGGGGCTGATGGTCTCGGGTTCCCTGGAGCTGTCAGAAGGCTCCAGTCCTGACTGTCTGGCCACGCTGACACCAGCAAGCCCCGAGTCATCCCGGGAGGCTGGAGGGGAAGAAGGAGGGACAAGATCGTTCCAGACCTGGGACAAGATAGGCCAGAGCAGTGCGGCTCTGCCAAACCCACCCTGGGCACCCACTGCCAGGCCCAGGGGCACCAGGCCCAGGGGCAACAGGTTTGTTTGCCGCTTACATGTGCCCAGACCAGCACAGCCATCACATTCCCAGCTGGTTATGCTGGCCCTCAGGCCAGAGCAGGCTCTGTGGGTGCCCTCAGCAGCACAGGAGGAGCACCAGAGCAGTTCCCAGGGCCTGGGGAAGCAAACGGGTTCATGGAGGTGAGGACAAAATGTCCAAAGCGTGGGATTATCTGGCTGAGCTCTTCTGGGTCCTTCTGCTTCAAGCCCTGCAGAGCTTGAAGCACTGCCTGCTGTGGGCTGTGTGTGGGGCAGAAGGCCCTGTGGGGAAAAGGAGTGGGTGAGGTGAGAAGTGCTGGGCCTTCCCAGGTGGTGGTGAGGAGGGGACAGGAGGTACCTGTACGGTGCCATGAACTGGGTGACACAGCCTCCCTGCTTGGCACAAGGCAGGTGGAAACTCAGGTCACAGTGTCTTGCCCAGCAGGGGATGGTGGCCCCGCTCTGGTCACAGATGAAGCACCTCTGGAAAGAGCAGAGCAGCCCCATCAGCAGCAGCCTCAGGGCCTCCTCCTTGTCCCAGAGCTGGTTGGAAGGGTTGGGCTTTCTTGCTTGGGGTCTGGGCTGAGCTCCAGCAAACCTCGCCTGGCCCAAATCTCCCTGCTCTTGTCAGGCTCTCACCTTCTGTGCTGCCTGGGAGACTATATCTGGGATCTCCCTTGGGAGAAAGCCAAGGAGTCCTACTCGATCATTCTCTTGCTGATGAAGGAGGCTGGCAAAAACCTGCAGGAAAGATGATGCACTGCTGAGGAGAGAGTGTGGTGGGAACTGCCCACTGGAAAGCTGGAGAGAGCCCACGGAGCAACTCACCAGGCAGAACTGGTGGGCACAGAACCCATTTATGTGAAGGTTTTCTCCACAGATGTCCAGGTCAGCCTCTGATCGCTGGCACAGCAGGCACGCTGGAGGGGAGAGACAATGGCCCTGAGCATGGCACCTGTGCTGCCCACCCTGACAGCCCCTCTGCCAGGCTGCGGGAGGGGCACTTGGCTCTCACCTGGCTCCCTCCCTTTGGGGGCCTCCTCCTGCCTGTCTGCCACTGTGAGTCAGGGAGTCTCTGTCCTTGGAACACCGAGGGGTGCTCCAGGTGCTCCTCCAGTGGTTCCAAGGCAGAAGTGAGAGGAGTTGGCAGCACAGGCCAGAGCCCTGAGGCGTAGAGCCCCTGACTCGCTGCTCAGCCCTGCGTGAGCCCGGTCTCTCTCTGCTGTCTCCTCCTGTCCTCTGGTTGAGGAACACCTAACCAGGCAGGCTGGGTAAACTCAAATTTAGACAGAAGAAGCACAGAAACATGACATTATTTGAAGACAGTCTACCTGCATCTGCAAAAAAAAAAAAAAGCTTTCTAAAAGTCCAGATACTTTACAAAATGTATCCCCTCCACATAAAAAATCAGATTTCTACCCATCTGCACTGTAGCAAAAAGGCAAATTTCAAGATAAAAAAATAACAAGGAAATGAACATACTACCACAAGTTATAGCCACTCCTACCTGAGAAAATAACTCATGAACGATTCCTCTGAAGCCACTCAGACAATAACTTTGGAAAGGCATTTTAAAGCTGTTTTGTTAGTCGATTTGCCATTACGACTCAATAAATTTTTCAAACCCTTATAGTTCTCTTTTTCAGTCTTAGAGAGGGAAGCCCCCATTTTTATTTTATTTTTTGTTGTTGTTGTTGTTTTTTTTTAAGGGAATATGCCGGCGCCTGCTCCTACCTGAATGTGGTCAGGAAGGTTGAGGTATTCAAAACAGACTGCTATCCCGTGGTGACGCAGTCAGCTAATACCTTGCTGCTGAGACGCCGGTCCATCATCGGAACACAGACTCGCCCCGGCTGTGCCTTAGGACTGCTTATATCTTCACAGGAGAGTTCAGACAATCCTTGCCTCACCACGAGGGCACCATTTAGGACGGATTAGTGGGACAGGGGAGACCTCCAGGCTCTTGGGTGCCTGCCCATCACCTGGAGGTGAATGCCCTTCCCCCCGGCCCCCCAGCACGTGGCCCGCGACCCCATAAGGAGCTCACAGACCACCAGGGAGGGAGGGACGAAAGAGGAAGTTTATTGTGGGGAAGGGGTTTATAAGGCTTTTAGGAGGGTCAAAGGGAAACCAATCACAAGTTCAGGGGCACACAGAAAAAAACAATCAGGTAAGGGGTCAACAGCCAACAGGAAGGGGTTAACAAGGACCAATGAGAAACACCTCAGGACACCTTCCCAGGACACCCTGTATGGGAGACAAGTCTCTCACAGGGGGTGTTGGGAAAAAGAAGCACTGACCTTGCAGAAAATACAAAAAGCCATTTTGAAACATGTTTAAACTACATTAAAACCTTCTGTTTCTATAACATTTGAGCTGTTTTCTTCTTTTTTCTCACTAGTCCATCTCTGACAGGACTTCTTCCATCCTGCATATGGCCAATCCATTGCCACAGTGGCTCTGGAGGTCACTGACATTGTTAAAGGTGGAGGCCACAGCACTTCAAAAGGGAGGACAGGGCCACATGATCCTCCCGTGCTGCTGGTTGGTCCCCCTGTCTCTGGGCAAACTGCCCCTCTCCGGAGCTGAGAACTGAACAACTTTGTCGCTTCTTACTGCGAGCTGTGACTGCCCTGCAAACTCTGCAGGAACACCTACTTGTTCCTAACACCCTAAAGCACTCAAAAGCACAAGCACCCCCTGAGGCCATAGGTTAGTTTTACCCTTGGGCAGTGCATGTCACTGCATCTTTCAGACCAACCTGATCTTCTGCGGATACTCCTCTGCCTCAGCAGCAAAAGCCTTCCACTGGAATCGGGCTGTGATGTTACTTCTGTTGTGGATGGCCGTGGTTCTGTGGCTTGACAAGTTCCAGAGAGTACTTGTCCAGCCCGATGTTGAAGTCCTTAGCTTTTCCAAGAAGTCTGGTGTGGGTATCTTCACCTGGAACAAAGCAAAGAGGAGTCTTTGCTCAGCTCCCTTGCTGATGGAATTACAAGGAGCAGAGCAAACCACAGGTAACAGAAGAAAGTGTCCAGCTTTTAGCTGGATAAGTAATTCCACGGATCAGTACATTTATCAAATCCCAACAGCTCCGTGGGTACAGTGTGAGGATGTCCTGGACACCACCTTAAGCACCTGATTTCTGGGTGGGTTTGTAGAGATTTGTCCCCAGGTGACAGTATTTACAGTGAGATTTGTCAGGTGTGCTCAGGTGACCCACTCAGATCCCAGGCAATTCTGTATCAAATTCATTCGGGTGACTCTAAGGAGCCCCACTCAGTCACAGCCCAGGGGCTCCTGAAGGCACCCCACGGGGCTCCTGCCTCTCCCAATCCCGCTCCCTGTCCAAACCCATGGCCACATCAGTCTAGAAATATTTGATATCATTCTGATCTCAAACACCAAGCTGAAACATTTGAACTGAAAGAAAGAAGGGCAGAGAGACAGACTAAAAGTACAGAGCAGCTTTTATACGAAGACTGAATGGGGTTCCTCAACCCAGAAATCAAATGGGAGACAGGTGGGAGAGGTTTGGAGAGCATGAATGGCCTGGGAAATGGGAATAAGGGACAATTTGTCACGATTTGTCATCCAACAGGAACCCGAGGGCCTGAAAATGTTCTTAGACAGAAATTACATGTATATGTAGAGGACAAGATAGAAAAAGGGTCTGTGGCAAGACAACAGAGAAGCAGCTTAGGGGACAGAGGTGAGCAAAAGACACATGACATTGGAGAGAGTTGGATGGAAAGCTCACAGGTCACAGACAGCACTGTCCAGGAACACAACTTCAGCCCTGCACATCCACACTGCAGTGGAGAATCAAGGTTCCTCCTTCCTCCACTCAGCAACTCCCAGCAAAACAGGATTCCAAAAATCTCATCCCTGTTTGAGGGCTTTATCCACTTTATCAACCCCCTAAACACTAACTAGTTTGCACTTTTCGTTGCGGTGAAGCTGGGACGGGGCGGTGCTGCTGGAGGGGGAATTCAGGTGGCTGGGACAGTGGGGAGTGCTGGTAGAGGACTGGGGTGGGGGTGCAGGATGGAGGACACCATGCTGGCACCAGGGTCCCCCCAGGGATGGACCAGCAAACAGCAACACAGCACATCCAGGACAGGGGCAGACTCAGCCTTGGCCCCTTCTCTGCTCACTTCTGAGCACTGAAACACACGGAGGCTTTGAAAGGAACAGTTCTACAAGTAGTTTGCAGAGCAAGTCTAACGTTATTCTGCTTAGAAAGGGCTCTGCTGTTGGGAAGGACGCGGGGTGAGTGCCCCGTGCAGTGCCCAGCACTCACCTCTGTCGCAGTGCACTGCCAGGGATGTGCAATGGTGCCCGGTCTGCAGCGGGTGATATTCCACTGTCACTTGCTTGGCTTCACCAACATCGAGGGTTCCCGTGGCTGGGCTGGCAGTGAAAGGGCTGCAAGACCAAGAGAGAGATCAGGACTCTTGGGGGAGGTTTGGGGACGATACTTGCAGTCTAGTTCACTTCAGCTGACTTGTGCAAGCGAGGAGCAAAGCAACCACAGTCAGCAGAAGACAGACAGAACACACAGCATCAGAAACAGCTACTGACTCTCTTTGGAGGAGATGCAGCCCTCAGAAAATCCTGTTGGATGAAATGAACTCATCTCCCCCATACTCTGCGTGGAGGCTCAAGGGTCTGACTGCCAGCAATCCCAGCAGAGAATGGTTTGGGAAGAGCACAGAGAGGGTTAAGAGCTATTTGCATGACACTGACTGCCTGGGGAATGTCTCTTTTCTGGTTCCCTATAAACCTCAAATGGCAGGGCACTCCCTGTCCTGTGAGATTACAGCCTAGGAATCAAGAGGGAGAATAAAGTCTTCCTTGAAGACCAGAGAATAATGAATTTAATTTGCAGTGTGGTTGTTTGGGGTTGTTTTTCCCCTTGTAAACATCCTGGTTTAGCCTAAGAAAGGGCACCTTTTATCACATTTCAATGAAAGCTGCTGGAAGAAAAGGAGCAATGAAAACTCTGAAGGAGTGCAACTGCAAATTGGAGCAATACAGTGACCTGGACACAGTACCCAAAAGGAGGGTCCTGTTTACAGCCTGAAGGATTCAATCCCATCTAAATGAAGTGCCATTAAGAGCAGCACATCAAGGGAGCTGAACAGGAGGTTTCTGTGTATTCCCCAGCCATGCAGTCTGGGATTCTGGAGTGTCATCCAGGCTGGTAACTGTTTGCTTGGCCCACCAGAGAAACAAGGGAAATCATTAGGCAAATGTGTTGGTGCAGTTTGGATTTAACAGGAGCAATTTGGCTTTGTCACCAGGTAAACAGCTCTTGCCTGACAGACACAAAAATCAGAGCTTTAGTGCTTCAGGACAGCTCAGGTGAAAGGAACAGTTCTGCCCAGGGGCTGCTGGGCTTTGTGCTCTTCCTACAGCCCCACTGAGAAAACAAAAGTTTAGTGCCTGCTGATGGTTAATTTGTCACCTTAAAAACATTTCCTGGGGATTCTGATAATGATTAGAGAATGCAACACAAAAAAAAAATAAATAAGAAGAACAACTGGAGCCCTGTGCAAACTGAACTTTGTTCCTGTCAGTGGTGACAGTTGATGGAATTGCTGCCCTTTCTGCTCCTTATAAGGAGCTACTGCTGCAATTAGGGGCCTGACCTGGTCCCATTACCACCAGTGAGAACATCACTACTGGCTAATGGAGAAGCCTTGGGCCAGCAATGTTTTTGTGCTGGGCCTGAGACTTTGGAGAGAGAGGAGGAAAGACAAGCCCCACCAGCCCCAGAGCTGGATTACTCTCTGTGCTCCTGCATCTGCCCTGATGGGGATGCCAGGACTGCTGCAGGGCTCTGCTGGGGCTCAGGCGTTCATTGCCTGGGGTAGGAAAGGCACGGAATTTTTTTCCTGTTCTTTTGCCAGAAATTTTGCCAGAACAGAGAAGTTACTAGTTAAGGGGCAACTCATGAGTGCTACCTTCCCTCCCGTTCCCTTCCTACTCCTGCCCCATGTCGATATACTCCTGCCCTCAGATGGCTGGATGGGGAATAAGACTCCTGGTACTGACTTCAGGGGATGCCTGAGAAAGAAGGCATCTTCCTATTTTCAATTTCTCAGAAGAGGATCCAGCCAAGTTCAGGACTAAGAACCCAAGTGCAAATCAGCCCCTGCATCTCCTACATTTTCACATATTCCCCAAATTGCTCCTGTTTCTTATACACCTGTGCATATGCCTATGGGCAGATGGTAGATCAACAGGCATGAGAGGACCTTGAAGAAAGTTCCCAAGGAAGAATGAATGATAGTTTGACAAAAAATTAACACAGAGCAAAATAAATGGAAAACAAAGCAGAAACACGGGAACTTCAGAGTATTTTAAAAGAAATCAGAATGAAATCTGCTTCAAAATTTAGACTGGCTTTCAAAGGTTCCTCATGAAACAGAAGAGATGACTGATGCCCTCAGCTGACAAGGGAAATCAGATCAGCTTTGACTAACAGGAACAGCATGGGCTGTTCACAACACAGCTCACGTTGGGCATCTGATGAGGGGCCCCCTGATGTGCCACACGCTCGAGGTCTCCTGGAGAATGGGTTTATTGGCTGACAGTGGGAGGCAGCCATTTCAGAAGGTGGTGGTGCTCAGGAGGGTGCAGACCAACCACTAACGTGTTCCAGCAGTCCCCAGGAAATCTGGGAGAGACAAAGCTCAGGGCTTGCATCCTGCTTAAAACACTAGAAGCAACAGCAGACCCCACACGTCCTGCCCCTTTCCAGCTGTGGCTGCAGTGCAGCAGCTCGGATGCTCTGGTTCCTTTGGGATACTCTTTCCCAACT